AAATTTAAAAAATTAACTGTGTACCGACAAGCAATAGACATTTTTGAAACCGAACGATTGGACAATTGTTGGTATCTTTCACTTTCATTTATGTTTAAATTTTTAAGCTCACATTTGCTATTGAAGGTGGAGACGAATTTATCAAATCGGTGATCATTTAAAACGGTATTCGTCCTTCAATTATAAATGTTGTAATTAACCAGAGATATATTTATTTTTATATGTGGATTCTTATATTGTTATTATGTTTAATTATTAGATTTCTAGCTACACTTTCTTCAAATTGAGAGCCGTAATGGTCTTCATTGCCAAGTTAGCGAGTATCTCGAAGTTATTTTATTTAATGATCTGACACAAGTTCTCATAATTTCAGTAAATTCAAAAATTAAACGGGAAACAATTCTAACCAAATGAGACCCATTAGCCCCTTGAAGTTGACTCAATTTATTACAGAAAAGTGAGAAATATAGCTATGTTAAAAAATGTATTTTTCAAACTATTGGAGCTTAAATGTAACGGTTTGCTAATTGATGATATTTTCAATCGATTCTCACAGCCGATTAATCGATTATCAATATTTTTAAAACAAAAATAAATAATAAACTAATGATTTTTTTTCGTATGTCATTACATGAAAACTTAGCATAGAAACCAAGTAATAATACGAAAGTATGTATATGTAGTACACATAGATACTTACTTATATCCACTCTGAGCTTAACTACAAGAATGTAACAAATAGGCAGCAAAGTGAACTTGAACCAGTTCACCTGGATTTTTTCCACCATGTGCATATGTTCACATGAATGTATGTATACCTCTTGTCATATTTGCACATGGAATGACTTCCAACTGTAAAGTGTGTAAATTGCTCAACGAAGACGCACAGAAATGGCAACGCTCAACCAAAGGTGTACCGACACACACACACCCATATGAACACGTGCAGTTGTATTTAATAGCATACTTGACGGCAAACCCAATTGTATCGAACTAATACCCGGCAATTGAGTGTCATTGCTGCCGGTAAATGCGGCATTGAAAACCGATGCGCGAACATGCAACACATTGTCGTTTCAAAGACCGCATTGCTGCACGCACATGCGGCAACAAGTTGTTGCATTTATTGCTATGCTCGTGTGCATCATGCCCGGCGACGCTACGCCAAGTTAGGAAATGTATGCTATGCCACTTGCCACTGCCACATCTACCCGCCGAAAATGCATAGATACTTTTGTGAATTGTTGTCGATCTGCAATAACAGTCAGTCACATGACTGCTACTGCCGTGCGTGTTGCTTTTTTTTTCTTCGCCAGTTGGTGCCGTCGGCGTTTACTGTTGTTATCAACACTGTCCTCATTCAGCCACATCTGCGTTTGTCGATCAGCTGTGTGCTGTTGCTCATCGGCATTGCGTGTGAATTACTTACCGCTTGTCTCTTCCGGCCGCCTAATGTGGCAGAGCCATTCATATCCACGACAATTGTTGGCAATAAATTATACCTACTATGTGAATACCAGTTGTTGTTTTTCAATTTTGCTCTTTTTGCTTTGTGGTATTATGCTTTTTCTTTGATCTCTTGCCTTTCTTAAGCCACAAAGCGGTTAGCATTGATCTCGCATGCGCACGCGACCGGAAAACGAAATTGAATCTGTGTCAAAAGTAGCGCGTGCGTGAGTGCGTGCAGCAGCGCAGTTATGTTCAATTGTATACGTTCATTGCGGTACGTGTGAGCTTTTAAGCGGTTATATAGGCAGCTAAGCAACCTCTGGGTGAAAAGCTGAATTGATGCTTGTGCGATTGGAACGATGCCAACTGTGTGGTGGTGTTCTAAGAAAAGCATGATTAATTTTCCTCGAAGTCATCTTCGTCAGTGGGTTAGAGGAAATGCAAAGTGGTCGTTAGTACCATGCGGGGACTATTTGCAAGCGGAACATATGTTGGGCATGACGATGTCTAGTCCGTTTACATTTAATTATTTTAGGCATAAATCCCACATTCCAGCATCGCTAAAGGTAAGACTTAGGATGACTAGGATTCCAAAAGAATTGCTTAAGCCTGTATAACGCACAAATACCTATAACCTATATCTTAGCTAGCGTAATCCTTTTCCAACATTCATCTCAACTTTTCCCTACATGGCTATTTAATCTGTCCCCAGATAAATGCTCACCTCCATATTCGACGGTCACTTGATTGACTGCTGCACTGTGCACACTCGCGCATTTGTACAAAAGTAGCAATGAAAATTGTTGCAACATACTTTCATGCATTTCCCGCAATCACAAGCATAATCGCGAACGCAATAAAAGCCGTAATGGCAATGGTAATCAGTATTGCATTTGCTTTGAGTATATAATTAAAGCTAGTTGTGTGAGTGTGCAACTGGAGGTGCAAACATATGTGTGGGTAATTTATCCATAACTTGTGAGATTAACTGGCAAGACAGTGTCGGGTAGAGAATATTTGTGTTCCATTTTTTGACACAATAAAAATGGCGAAGATTGCAGCTGACAGCGATTACAGTGCTATCATTTCCCGTACTAATTACATACTACTGAACATAGAGAGCTGCATACACGCCCCTATTGATGGAAAGAATTTTCAATGTGCTCACTTAAAAGTAGACGTCTTCAATTCTTTCTAAGCGCTATTATCTTTTAAAATATTTTAAAATTGTAAGCAACTACAAAACTAGCGAGTTGAATTCGAGCAAACGGAATCTAATATATATACAAATAAGTAGATTTCTTCAATGCTATCAAGTTTTGTTTTACATACTTTAGATCAAGGGGTTAATAAATATTTGAGCATTGTTAAAAATAGCGCCAGCTGACATGCCAGCACTAGGTTAAGCCGGAAGTGTTTCCAGACATTTTGAACTCCTTCAAAATATCTTCACCAAATGTGGCATAAATTATTGTCTAAATCAGCATTACAAGCTCTGAAAACCAAAAATTTTCAATCGGACTACTATAGCATATGGCTGCCATACAAACTGAACGATCAAGGTCAAGTTCTTGTAGGGAAATTTTTTATTTGTGTAGGGTATTATTGTTTCGGTGCCACCGAAGTTAACTAAGTTAACTAGTAACTAAGCTAGCTGAAAATTCAAATTCTCTTGATTACTTCTAATATCAACTAAAAACGGTGAAGTTGCTCATATTTTCCCAGTAAGACCAACTTGAAATTTTTTTAATCTCTAGAAAAACAAGAATAAAAGCAACCACTTTTTTCCTCCATCCCCATTAAGTCATAGTTAATGTTGAAAAGTTTGCCAATACGAAATGGCGCTAAAGACATCGATAATCTGCCATACACCAATCGATGCCTCATACGAAAAACAAGTGATCAGACACACAGCCAACGGCTGGGACGTGCCAATGATGCACGTCTGCGTCGTGGCTTCGTTTAGCTGCTGACTCGTCGTTGACGCTGTAAGGTTCGTTGACGTAAACGGCAACATATTGGCGACTAAGCAACAATATAGTCACAAAAATAACAACAGCAAAATAAAGCAACTGAAACAAAAGTGCGACGAGCACTTCAGCACATCAGCATTTGCCATTTACCATTCACCATTCGCTACTCAACCGCGAACTGCCAGCCAAACAGTCAATTTGCCCTAGTCTCCGGCTTTGCTCTTGAATTGCTTTTGTCGCCGTCTTAGCTGTGATTGTTGCTGTTGTTGCAGCTGCCCGCGGTTGTCGCTGTCTCGCCGCAATTGAACTTGCCACAATGAACCAATAACATTAACCACAACAATAATAATATTAATAAAAATTAGCAATGAAACTTAAAAAACCGATTGAAGCATAGAATAAAGCAACAAGAGGAGATTTATTGAACGCTGCACTTGAGCTGCCGTGGAAAACAGGTTGTTTCGGTTGACTGTCGGAGCTGTTGGAGCGGTTAGCTGTACGGACGCAAAGTGGGTCACCACAATGACGTACACACATATATATAAATGTAAATGCCTATATGCTTACGCTAGTATATATGGCGAATTGCCACATATGGCTCTGGTTGTTTTTTCTTTGCGTTTTGTATTATTGTTACGGTGTGCTGCTATGCAGCATTCCGAGATGCCTCATTGTTGCATTCACGCAGCATCCAAAAGCAACCACAATCCAACCACAAATACCAATAATATCTATGTATATGTGTAATGCAATTCTGTGTTAGTAAACATATTTTCCATGCAGGTGCAAAACGCCTTTGTAGATTTCAAATTCTTTTGCAACAATAAAAGAGAAGAAACACATAAGCTAATTTCGCATTTCCCTAATCTTTACCCTCGCAATACGCAATAACGATACGATAAAAAAGTAGATATCTAACTCTCTAGCCATATTGGCTACCAGCAGGTATAATTTTATAGAGTACCACAGCATTTAGAAATACCACAGATAGAATGTTTGAAGAAGTCCATCAATCGATATTTGGTATGATCATGAGACCGTCGTGTTTCTTTTTCAATGTAATATGATTAAGTTCGTTGGTTCTGATTCGCAAAGTAGAGATTTTTTTTGAATCAATTACCAGTGCAGAGTGAAGTCGTTCCGGTAGACTTCGGTTGATAGTGATTTTGTCCGAAAGAAGAAATTTGTTTGATTGTTTATTTTCTTACACCTGAGAGCAAGTTGTACATAACATGTAACAGGACTTTCATTCGAAAGTAAGCAAGTTGTCCACTAATATTACAAAAAACATTATAGGAACGCCTTGGTACTTGGAATAGCAGCAATACAGAGCCTATCACAAACTATCTTAGGGTAGTGTGAAAAGTGAACAGACCAAAAGGAATAATGTTTTATTAAAGTGCGAATGAAGTAACGTTGTAGAGAACATTTACCCCTAAAATACACGTTCTGGAACTTGGTAAAGTGGAATCGGCAGACTACAGATCAAATTAAACACTATTTATGCTCATATGCTTAACCAAATTAATTTTTTAATAAAATACAATAATATCTATTTTTACTTTGTTTTACTTCCAGCGGCTCTGCCTGGTTCCGTATGTTATAGCCATGCCCACTGTCAGATGTTTGACTCACGTTCCCATTGTGATTTTCTCATACCAAATCTGTTCGGTCGTTGCCAGTGCACTTCACCTGCCAAGCTTGTAGGTGGATTTTGTGTGGAGGGTATGGTTGTAGTGTCAACCGAAGCAGCGGCACCTGTGCCATCACCAACTACCACCACGACTACTACCACAACCACAGCTGCACCAGTTACCACAACAACAGCGGCCCCAGCGGCTGAACCAGTGCGGTACGACAGTGTTGAGGAACAATCGACTTTCGATGACATTGTCGAATCTCCAGCTAATTCTGACGCTGATATGGATTTGCCAACAACTACAGCACAACAGTTATTAACACCTGCCGCAGTTGAGGAGCAATCACATGCAATAGCAGCTGATGAAATATTGCCACAAGAAACCACTCCGGTAGTAGATGATTATCCCTATAAGATCGATGATGAGTATGATGGTGACGATGTAGAAAATCAACAACAGCAGCTGCAACAAGTTGATGCTAACGAACAACAGCAACAATTAGAGGATGAGCAAGGAGCACATTTCCCGATGAATGATGTGCATATTGTAGAAGAAGAACATGTGGAAGGAGACGAACAACCAGATCGTGTGGTAGACGATCATGAGCAAGCTGTTGAAGAACCATTTAAGGAGACTTCACAGGTCATACAACAAGAGCAACTGGATCATGTAACGGAATCCCATATAGAAGCAGATTTTGTAGAAACAGAGCCAATAGATGAAGCGGCACACGTCGCGGAGCAAGAGCTGCTGGATCATGTAGCAGAAGACCATAAAGAGTATGTGTCAGAAGAAGAAACCCCAGTTAAAGTGGTACAGTCCGTTGAAGAACAAGATCACATAGAACATGAAGATCATAAGGAATCGAACCATGTAGAAAATGAGCCAATTGAAGAAGTTTCAACCTTAGAAAAACAGGAAAAACCTGTTTACGCACTAGAAGATCACAGACCAGCAGATTCAGTAGCAGAAGAGACAATTAAAGAAAACTCAAATATCGAACAACAAGCAAATCCAGTCGAAAATGCTTCTGATGATAGTAATGTTGTTGAAGAACCATATGTTGCCGAAACATCCTTCGACAATGTGGATATCGCTGCGCAGGCTTTAAACGAACATGAATTGGAAAAAGAACCGGTGGGAGGCCAACAACACATAGGAACGGTACATATTGTTGAAGAGCAAGAGGAAGGTGATGCTGATAAAATTATCGAGGACAAAATACCAAATAACGAAGCACCACAGTTGTTCGAGGAACATGAGTATGTTGCAGAGCAACACACAACTCCTACACAAGAAGAGCGCAATGGTGAATCGGGACAGAATATAAAGACGGAGCAACCAAGCTTTGATAAAATACCTGTAGCGCAAGACTATGAAATTGAACAAACTACAGTGGGAGCAACGCAGTTAGATGTAATGGGGCACGCTGCCGAGGAAGTGCCTGAAAATATTCCACAGAACCCTCAAAACATTGAAGCATCTAATGTTGCCGATGATGTGACTGAAAATCTTTCTCAGGAACTTGAAAATAATGGCTCACCTGTTGTTGCTGAAACGGAGCATATTGCCGAAGAAATGCCAGAAAACATTTCACAAGAGCATCACAATATTGAGGCGCCAAATTTAATAGAAACGGAGCACATAGTTGAAGAAGAATCGCAAAACCTTCAACATAATAAAGCAACTAATGAAGCTGGCAATCAATATGAGCAACCCGCAAACGAAAAACCAAATATGGAGTCAAATCCAGTACCGCAAGTCGAAGAGGAAAGTTCATCTTCCGTTGGGACACAACCGCACAGCGAACAAAATCAATATTATGCTGTTGAGATGTCAGCGGCCACATTGTTGCCTCATGACGCCACCGATTCGCCAAATTCAATGTCGTCGGAACAGCAATATGTTGACTTTCACCCCGAAATGGAGATGTACGAAGATGTGGAGCATGAAGACGAGCATGATATTGCCGATGATACGATGAAATTTGATTATGAGACAGCACAAGATGAATTCAATAGTGAAAATACTGAAGCAAGCACTGCAGAAGAAGAATTCGCCGCAACTGACTCTCCTAATTGGGCTCAACAATCTGAGAATGCGCCAGTTATTTCATCCATGACATCGGAATTCGAATTGCAGCCTCAAGCGCCATCGCTTGCTGAGCATGAAAAGCAGAAAGAAGCGGAGGAATTCAGTCAACAGCATTTGGAAGAAAACAAAGTTGTCGAAGCACATGAAATTGAAAGTGAAGCACAACTTGCACAGCTACAGCCGCCACGTGCAGATGACAATACTTCGGCAATAGAAGCAGAGGCAATCAAAAATGTGGAAAATGAAAGTTTTACTGCTAATAATGACTTAAAAGAAAGTAATGTAGACTCCGAGCCTACACTAGCAGAACAAGAACATAATGACAATGCGCAGATTACCACTAATGTTGATGAGCCGGAGAAAGTATCAGCAGCAATAACGGAACGAATTGCGCCAGAAATACAGGCGGAGAACATTTTTCAACCTGACGATTTACAAGCTGAACCAAGCAACGATGAGGAAATTGTAAACGAACCACAACTGGCAACGCACGATTTTGTTGTAGAAGAAAATTTAGACGAGCAAACCAACAAGCATCAGGAAGGTAATTTTGCAGCCCAAGACGAACAGCATAAAGCTGATGAAGCTGCTTTTGAATCTACTGGAGCCATAACTGATGAAATTACTTCACTAGACAATAATGGAACTGCTAGTGAATTAGTTCATCAAGTTGCGGGACCTACGCAAGATCATCAAGACAACAAGCTAACCCCGGACACTGTAGACATTTTAAGTGTGCCGAATGCCGCTGAAATGACAATTGCTCAAAAAGAAAATGAAGCTGGTGCTAATGACCAAATAGATAAACATATTGAAGAACTTTCAATTGTTGACGAAGTTGTAGCGACGACCCAACTGCCGCTGATCCAAGAAAATGGCGTTGAAGCTGAAGAACATAATGAGATTATCACGTCCGCTGAAGATAACAAAGAAAACATAATGGTTTTGGGAAATGGAAATGAGTTAGGAATGAATAACGGTGATGAGATGAAGCCAACTGAGCAGGACTTGAAGAATACATTGTCAGAAAACGCACCGATCACTGAGGCTGGTTTAGTATCTGATAATGAACACGAACCTTTAAGAGTTGTAGAAAATGGAGATGTGGTTGATCAAGCACAACAAGCTGAGCAAACTACGCCAGATGATACTGTAATGGCAGTGCAAAGCACTGTTGACGTTAACAAGGCTGTTAAAGATCCAAGCAAATTTGAACAAATTACAAATGTTGAGGAAAATATTCCACTGGAACCACCCAGCCAAACCTCCTTAGAACATATCGACCCCATAGAAGCAGACAATTCTATTGGTTCCAATGAAGAAACGGCAAATCTCTCAGAAACCTCTTTAGAATTAGCGCTTAATGAAAATTTAGAAAAAAATACCGCGACCTTGTTACCCGAGATAGACTATGCGCCCGTTGAAAGTTTCGAAATGCTTAATAATGCACAAAACAAGCACACCGACGAACTGCTGGCTCACATTGATGACCAGACCGAGACGAATTTCATCGACTTTAATGATCACGATGAGTCGCTTCCACAATCGGTGACACACACTGACATTTATAATGAATCATTTGAGGAACACGAATCGATTGCTGATATACTAAGCGATCTTATGTCCGAAGATGTAACTACAGCGACACCATTAGAAGCCGTCACAGAGGAAGAAGGTGTTATGTCACAAGAAGATTCTCACGGTAATGAAAAGGAATATGTCAACGCACAGCCGGACGACACTGTGCATGCATCCGACGTAATTGCAGCTGACACGAATATTGTTGAAGAAAAACTGGCTATGCCGCCACAGATCGAAACTACAGAGACGCATGACGACAAATTAACCTTTTACCCTGAAGCACAAGACTTGAGCGTGCAGGCAAGTAATGATATTGAAGTGCCACAACAATCAGAACATGATACACATTCAACTGAGCTGAATGCTGAAGGCAGCACCAAAGTAGAAAATCTTGAGGAAACTGACCACACATTATCTCCCGAAGAGATGCCTTTTGATTTAACTTCTATTGACGATATTCATACGCAAGAGTTACAATCGGACAGTTTAATATTGGAGACTACCACTGCCTCGAATGCGGTATACAACGTGGAGGAAGAAGCATCAGGCGACGGAGTACAAGAAATCCTCAATGAGGAAGCAACCGCAACACCTGGTGATATCGTTGAAATTACCACACAGACTATGTTGGGCTTGGCTAGCCGTGTAACGTTAATGGAACCAGCGGCGCCAATAGTCACAACACTGAAACCACTTATGACAGAAGTATCGTCAGAGAGCGAGGCAACACCCGATCCAGTAAAAGAACTACCAGGCACAGAGAATATCTTGAGCGTCAAACCAAATACAGGTGAGTGAGGAGAAGTGATATTTCGCTTTGGAATTTAATCCGAATAGTTCTCTTTGCACAGAAATTCGTAAGCGTGTTGAATTGGGTACAGAAGCCGTTTCACTCGGTCTAACTTGCATGAATGACAGACAATGTCAACTGGCCGATCCTAATACGATTTGTAACACGCGTGGCGTATGTGATTGCGCATTGTCCAACACAGCAGCGGAATCGCAATGCAGTTCCCAGCGTACAGGTTGCGCTCCAGGAACTTTCCAGGTAACTCAAATTGGAAATATCAAACTTTTAAGAGTAAACAATCTAATAATGTCAAATACTGTTTTTCTTCTCAATTACGCAGTGCCGTTCCAGCGGCGTTTGTATCTCCTGGTTCTTTGTGTGCGACGGTCGTCCTGACTGCAATGACGACTCGGATGAGGAGTGCACAGTCAACGCGCGTTTAAATCAAACTTGCCCGCAAGAGGCGTTCCAATGTGAGCGTAGTGGGCGTTGTATTTCGCGTGCCGCGAGATGCGATGGACGCAAGCAGTGCCCGCATGGTGAGGACGAGTTCGGTTGTAATGCTGTGAAAGCGGGCGCATGCCCGCCACATACCTTCCGTTGCAAGAGTGGCGAATGTCTGCCCGAATATGAGTACTGTAATGCGATTATCTCCTGTCGGGATGGCAGTGATGAGCCACCTCACTTATGTGGCTCGCGTTCCATGCCGACTTTCTTCCTGCGTTTGTTGAATGCCGGAGGCCTGCTGGAGAACGAGGACGCCTATTGCCCGCATCGTTGTAGTAATGGTCGCTGTCGCTCAACAGCAATCGTTTGCTCGGGTCGTGATGGTTGTGGTGACGGCACTGATGAGCAGACCTGTTCTGTTTGTAGTAAGTTTTTTTTTTAGTTTTATAAGTTAATGGAAAATATTAAAATATTTGTGTGCGCTTTATAGGATGTCCGGCGCCAAATAGCAGCAGTTTTCCTAACTATCTTGCCAAACATCGCCCAATGCCATTGTGGTAGACTAGCGCCATCTCAGATATGCCCCTGCTACCCCAGCTCGTTGTATGATTCGAAAGCTGAAATAGTATGGGGGGCAATGTGACAAGGTTTTGAGCGACAACTCTTTCCAATGTTAGTGCTGAGCAGCATGGATCTTTGCAACAAACTTTACCGCCGTTGTAACCACTTGCGCGTACATTCATATTAAACGCGTTTTCGATATTCCATGCGGCTAAAATTAGTTATTAAGTTTATTTATTCTATACATAAAACTATGTCTTATCATTACAACTAAATACTTCGAAGCAATTGCCGCCTTGCTGGCGAGGAACAACGATTATGAAGTAACAAGCCATAGATTTGCACTTTAGCGAGCAAAATTTTGTTTATATAAAAGGCATGTAATGTTTATGCGCATGCGTACAAATTCTTTGACCCAGTGATGTTGGCAATTGCTCTCACACCCAAATACTACCACAGAAATTAACCATTCATGACACTTTTATTTATTTACAACTATTTATTCTCATCTCTAATTAAATGTATTTCATTTTCTGCATAAATTTTAGTATGTAGAATTAGGTTAAATGATGACCGAGCAGTTCGAAAATAACAACAATTATAAGCAATTTAAAATATTTTCCTTAATGTTAATAACGTAAAAAGAAATTGTATTAAAAAATCTTAAAAATCAGACGAACTAAAGTAACTTATCGCCAATTAAAGCAAACTCTTATCTACATTGTATTTGTATCAATTACCTTTTTTATATAATAGGAGTTGCCGTCATCTAAAACTACCACAAACAAAACAACGGTTAATGAAATGCTTTTAGTAATACAATGCTATCGATTCTTTTCTAACGTGTTATATGCGTTTTTTTATTCAAAGTACGGCAGATTTTGAAAAAAAACGAATCCCTACTAATATATAAATCTTAATTTGTAAATACACATGTAAGTAAAATATATTAAACTACTAAAAACTGTAAAAGCCGCTAGGCAAAGTGCTGACAATATATTATATATACAGACACACACAAATAATACATATATACATATGTACATGCATATGTGTATGTAAAACATATACATACATGTAATAGGTACGTCTAAGAACACAAAAAAAAGTATGTATTTAAATTTTGAAAACGTGCATTTAGTAAACTGAGTAATCTTCCAGGCCAGTTGCCAAGCAGCGGCGAAAACTGGTGAAATAAATTTATGTAGGTATGTATTTAAAATTGAAAGTGTTACATGGAAAGTTAGATAATAAATACGAATTGCATTTATTAATAATTAAAATTAAATAAAAGTGAAAACTTCAAAAAGTTTAAATACTTCGTTTTATTATTTTAAATTTTTTTGCATTGAAGAGGGAAAGGGTATGTTTTGCTAAACATTATTATACATTTGCTCAAATAAATTCTATTTTCGTTACTTGGGTCTGTAAACAGAATCAGATGAAATAATTTAGGTCAGAAATATTTTTATTGAAATATCTCCATCACCGGTCGACATAATCGTTTAATTTTATTTGATAGCTTAAATATTATATACAAAGTTCTTTACGGTTTCTAGCGACTAAGAGAACTAGTGGATTTTTCATTTTGAGATCAAATAACTTTACAATAGGTCAACCAGAAAGAAAGTTTTTGTTAAGTGTTATGTTGAGAAGGTATAGGCCAATTACGATAACTCTTGTTACATAATTGCAACATGTGAGGACTATAAGGAGTGCTAAGTTTTGATGAATACTTGAACCATCTATTATACAGTTATTGAATATAATAAGAATTAGACGTGATTGTTGCCAGTTTTAGGTACAGTTGAATTCCAAAATAACCAATATTCGTTTTAACGAAACCCCTAAATAGAGAACAAGCAACTTTTTTACATTGAGTACCTTAAATATCGAACAACGTGGATTTACCATATCAGCACTCGGTTTAACGAACAACTTGAAGAAGGCTTATGTAGAAAAGGGGCGGGGGAAACATTCAAAAGAAACAGTTACTATGTTAATGTTTCTTTACGTTTTGTTTGACGAAATTGAAAATGTAAGCCCAAAAACTGAACATGAAGATGCAGTGAAAACTTTCGAACCATATATCCAGTGGACAAAGAAAAACAATGCCGATTTCACAAAACTTATTGGTTTGATTGAACTTCAGGAAGAGCCATCAAATGTAGTCTTCGTATTCTAACGAAGCAATCGACGATTTATTAATTTTTAAATAGCTGGATAAGCCTAATTACTGATATACAAATATTTTGATCTCATGAATTTGCATTTTAAGCATATTACTTCCTTTAAGGTAACATGCATATGCGCCATGAATTTTTGCTTATTTGTTTTTTCTTTTTAAACGCTCGCAACCTGTTGCGATACCTTATCTGAGGATAATATTGTAGTTTTGTTCACCTAACGGTTGTTTGTATCACCTAAAACGAATCGAGTTAGATATAGGGTTATGTATATATAAATGATCAGGATGAAGAGATAAGTTGAAATCCGAGTGGCTGTCTGTCCGTTCGTCCGTGCGAGCAGTGAAACTTAGTACACATGTTTCTTGGTACCGTAAGACGCCCACAAAACGCTATTAATCAAAAACAAATAAATTGCCATAACTAAACTTTACAATAAGATACAAGAGATCTGTGTTATTTGGTACACAGGATCAAGTTAGGGAGGCGCATCTCCAGTTAAACGTTTTTTTAAAAGTCGGCGTAGTCCCGCCACCTAATAAGTTTAATGTGCATATCTCCTATACCACTGAAGCTATAATGACAAAACTCACTGGAAACATATATTTTTAGCATCTCTATCGACGGTGTGAAAATGGGTGAAATCGGGTGACAACACCGCCCACTCCCCATATAACGGTACTGTTAAAAACTACTAAAAGCGCGATAAATCAAGCACTAACTAAAGTTAATCTCTAGTATGGTATGAGATGACTTTATAGGAAACGCGTTCAAAATTAGTCAGTGGGTGTGGCACCGCCCACTTTTAGGTGAAAACCCATATCTTGGGATCCGCTTAACCGATTTCAACCAAATTCGGTACGTAACATTCTTCTTATATTTCTATGTTATAGTGCGAAAATGGGCGAAATCGGATTACAACCACGCCTTTTTTTCATATAACACCATTTTAAATTCCGTTTGATTCTTTCACTTTCCAGTATGCAAATCAAGCAACAATGATTACATCTAATGTGTAAGATATATAATTGAAATTCATATAATAAAACAAATTACATGAAACTCTCGATAATACAATAGTATGCTTTTGTGTCAAAAATGGGCTAAATCCGATCAATACTTCCTTTAATATAATATTTTGCCAACACCTGAAATAATTTCTCGGGTTTTGATCCTTGCAAGTTGCGAGAGTATAAAATGTTCGGTTACACCCGAACTTAGAGCTTCCTTAGTTGTTTAATAAAAAATTGAAAAAAACCAATTATTAACTGCATTGTTCGAATATTTTACATATTTTTATAGAAAAACATACCTCGTTAAGCGTGTAGTCGAATTAACGAAAAACTCGATATAATGAACTAGCCTGCCAATTAATATATTCGCTATTTCGGAATACTGCTGTATTAATATAAATAATATATAAAATTAGCTTTACCGGCGGCTTCGCTCGCATAAATCCCTTCATACAATAAAATCAAAAAAGATCAGATGCTCCAACAAGAGTTAGAACATATTTCAACCGAGTTTTATTATATTTTTGTATACTATGTTGTTAGTTTTCCGTCTTGTGAAAAATGCGTGAATTACAGTCTTTTGACACTCGCGAACAGGCTGCATATAGATGACCGTGAGAGAGGCATTTTTTAAATGCACCCCTGCTTCCTGTAATGTCTGCCCTTATGCTTTGTTTATAGCAGCAGCAAAGCTGAGCTTAACGGGAAACTGAGCAGATTTTTATCTTTTTCTATATCTGGATTAATTCTTCTCGCCTGCGATTAATCTTGCGCTTCTATCGCTCTACCAGCTGCCTGTTGCTCAGCTTGCCTTTTTACACGAACTCGTGTCTGAAAAGGCGTTTTCGCTGCGCTCAACACATTTTGTCGCATTTCTCAGCTCTCTGTCAGCTGAAGATTCTCGTTTTCGTGTAACTTTTGCTTCACAGGCCCGTAACGAACTTCTGAACAGATTTTATTTACCTCCTGCTCAAATATAAACGAGACTTTATCCATAACTCGACAAGGACATGACATATGGCCATACCTTTTTTTGCTTAGGTTGGCAGGACTGTTATATGATTACATGTCAAATTTGAGCGCGATCTCTCCCATAGTTTTTTTTTTACGGCACTATAAACAAGTCAACCTCGAGTGTGTTTTTCGAATTTTACTATGGAAATTAACGTTGAGCAAAAAGTGTTTGTTTGAAATTTTGTTATTCCAATGGAATAAGTGCGACGAACGCAATGAAAATGTTGCAGAAGGCATATTGGGAGTCTTGCCTATCACGTGCACGTATTTTTGATTGGTATAAGTCGTTCAAGGACGGCTGTACATCGCTGGAAAACTTGCCCCATGATCGTCGTCCTGCAACGTCAATAAACGAAGAAAACGTCGAAAAAGTAAAGAAAATTCTGTTGGAAAATCGTCGTGTGACTGAAAGAGAGATAGCTAGTGAGCTCAACATATCAAATGGATCCGCTCATAGCATTATTCACGATGTTTTGGGCATGAGACGTGTGTCTGCTCGACTTGTTCCAAAATCCAGCTCATACGTCTCGTCTTGTACGCGATTATTTGACCAAAAACAACGTAAATATTGTTCCGCAAGCACCGTATTCACCCGACATGGCACCGTGTGACTTTTTTCTTTTCCCTAAACTCAAATTGCCGCTTCGTGGAAAGCATTTTCAGTCGATTGAAGTCATAAAAGAGAATTCGAAGAAGGAACTGAAAGCCATACCTAAGGATATAATAGGAAGATTGGAAAAAAAGGTGGCATATGTGTATCGCCCCTAATGGTGACTATTTTGAAGGGGATAAAATAAATATTGAAGAATAATTAACCGTTTTTGTTTTATTGAGCCAGTCTCGTTTATGTTTTCATCGCTTCAATGTTTTGATAAAATGGGAAGATGGCGTGATTATTATTTAATTTTGCCTATTTTCACACGGGAACATGAAATGCAATGAAAATCAACAAATCGATTAATGCAGAATTTTGTGAAGATATCTAGTCAAATATAAGAAATATATAAAATTCTATACAAGGACTTGCTTTTAATCGTTCAGTTTGTATGACAGCGATATGTTCTAATGGTTCAATAATGGCGGGGCAACTTTTTGGGGAGAAAAGGAAAGGGTTGCTGAGACAACACAACAACAACCATTGCCTCGCACAGTAATGAAAATCAACGACGATAGTTGAGTAAACAATCATCCAAAACAAACGCCAAGTTACGTAAACAATTCTGTAATCGTTCGATCACTGTGACCGCTCAATTGCGCTGTGTAAGCACTTTGTTGTTTCTTCCAGTTAGGGTAGACTAAGTATAATTTTAATTTTATAAATCACTTCATATATTAAAGTCAAGTCAGCTACACGGCTGTGAAGATTTAACTTGTACCAAGTTTCAGATATCGCGTATCGCTTCAAAGCTTATCTCTGGGTGTTGCAAACTTCGTGGCAAACTTAATATACCCTGTTCAGGGTACATATAAAAACGGCCGTTAGGTGAACAAAACGATTATATTTTATGCAAAATTTTGCGAGAGCTTAAAATGTTATTCTTGTAAGACTCGGTGTACCGGTATGAAAATGAAATACTAATTCTGAATAGGAAAGTAACAAAATTTATTCAAAGTATTGACCATTGACATTTTACACATTTTAACTGGCGAGTTGGGTAGTAGTTCCCAGCAAAGTACTTTGATTGTATCCTGAAACGATTTTGCTTTGTGTGCAGGTGCATGTCCGTGACTTCTCGCCCATTCTTTTAGTTTTTCAATCAATGAATGGTTTATATTGATCATCTGCTATTTCAGCAGGTTTTAGAAGCTCATGGTATACCACACCCTCCTGATCGCAACAAACACAGAGAACTGACCGTCGAAACCATCTTTTGCATGTTGCTGCTGATAGAACATTATCACCATATGCCTCGACAAGCATTCGGTGTGACTCTGCAGCTCTTTTCTTTGAATGGAAGCAAAAAAGTAATGTTTTCCGCAAATCCTCACTTTCCACAACAAAAATTGACATTTTCAACACAATGAAAAATTTTATGTTGTTCAATGACTGTAAAGTTACATATTGTATTTATATTATGCTTTTACTTTGTATAGTCAACCAAC